CTTCAATAGGTAACCGCGGACGCACGGCTACTTTAACGCGTCCCGAAACTAATGGTGAACTCAAATGCACCATATGCAAAGGGGCTTTTGTTACACTCATTTTTATTCCCCACACAAGAATATCTGAACCACAAAATGTTTGATTAGACAAAGGCAGCACAGATTCTAACAAAAAAGAGTGATAAGCACCTGTATCCCTAAGGATTGTGATTGGAACTTTATCCTTTTCTTCACTCGTCAAAGAAACGAAACCCCGCGAAATAAATGGCAAAAACTGCGAATCAACATCAACTTTGGGTTTTTGTTGAATGTCAACACATACATTCGGCTGGGAAACTGATTTTACTAACCCCACACCCGCAGGAGTTTTGATATCTTGAGCTTCTTTTTTCTTCAAGACTGGGCATACAGCAATTAAATGTCCAGGTGCGTGACAATAAAAGCAATCACGGTTGTTTGCTGTTGAAGTAACTAATGGCACATTTTGACTCACCGACCTTAAAGATGCATTTTTTCGTTCGGATAAATTTTCCTGAAACGAATTCTGTAAAGAAAACACATTTTTATGAGTCAAAATAAATTCATCAGCCAACAGTGCTGCATTTGTCAATGATGACGCTTTCTGTTCATTTAAATAAGTCACAATCCGTTCAGGCAGACACTTTTTAAACTCTTCTAACAAAATTAATGATTTTAGATCATCAATAGTCTTAACTTTACACGAATAACACCACTTATCAAAGAAAACGTTCTTCTCTCGTGCAAACTCAACAAATGTCTGATTAGCAGTTTTATTAAGATTTCTAAATTTTTGACGATATGCTTCGGGGACAAGTTCGTAAGCTTGCAACACAGTTTTCTTAACAGTGTCATAATCTAAACTGTCCTCAATAGACAAGCTTGAACACACTTCTTGGGCTTTTCCAACAAACTTACACTGTAGCAAAAGGGACCAGAATTTCTTTGGCCAGCTCAAAGCAATGGCTATGCGCTCAAATGCGCCAAAATAAGAGTCAACCTCAGACTCACGAAATGGTGGAACCAATGTGATGTGCTTACTAATGTCGAAAGTAGCAGAAACAGAAGAATCTGTGCTTGGTGGTTTTGGTGAAACTGCAGGTGCACTATGTTGGAGCTCAAGAGCTCTAATTCGAAGATGCATGGCTTCCACTTCCAGCTCCATGTTGCGGTTCTCCACCTCCCTGATATGGAGTGTGAGACGCAAATCCTCAGAAGACATACTTTGAAGAGGTTTAGATCCTTGTTTGATCTCTGACAATGCAGCAGGCACATCAGCCAGTGCTGCGTCAACAACCGCTCCAAGGGCGGCTTCTCCGTCTTCCTTCACTGCAGCCGTTTGCAACACACCTCTCTCCACCAGTCTTTCACACAGCGTTTCCTTCAGTTCCGATTTTCGAGCACTAGAAGACACCTCAACATCTTAATGGTCAGCCACAATAAGCAAGTCCGTTTTTCTACATTTATCCAATTTTTGCCAAGAAGGTGAATTTACAAAATCATTGAGGGAAACTCCCTTCTCCATAATTCCCCGTGCAAATAATAAAACCGCCAATCAGAACAATGAACACTTACAAAACAAAACGAGAGAAGACACGGAACGAAACACCATTTCAAATTTGGGACGAGCCCCCAATTTATGTTACGACCCGTCTAGGCAAGGCCAGATCGCAACATAAAGGATCCATCCTCTTCCGATCCCCAAGCAACCAACACAAAAAGTTGAACAGTTTATATGATATTTATTTTATAGAGATGTATGTTCAATTTACAAGGAGTTGAGCGTATAACCTCAGAGTGAGCTATCGCCGAAAACAACAAACAAACAAAAACTATCTGAATATAACCCAACTTACCTAACCAAAAGCAAACAAACCAAATGACAAAAACTTACCTCCCTAACTAACAAAACAGGAGAAAACTAAGAAAACAGAAACGGCAGCTCACTCCTACAAACTCCGAAACGTTACAAACAGTGTGGTCGATAGGGATGGTCCGAGGATGGAACCCCAGGAAGTCCGCGTCACCAGCTTTTATCCGTCCTCTCCGGGAAGCGACCAATCGGACGTCCCCCCGTCGTCCTCCAAACACCAATCAAATAAGAAAAACACCTGCACACTCAGGTACATAATTAGATTAAACGACCCCAGTCGTAACAGTAAGCTTAAATATTCCTGAGATGAATTAGAATCTTCCGTTTCATGGACTTCATGATCTTGTGGTTGCTTACAATGGCTTCACCATAATCAACAAATAGGCTAACAACAATTGACTATGCTCAAGGTCTGTTTTTTTAGCTAATGGATCTTTGACGTTACTACTTTTCGGGGTAACAAAGCCTGTGGACAGTTGTAACCTATGAGAAGTCTTACATCACCCTCAGTCAATGGCACAATCTTCTCTGTAAGATGCTCTAGATGTGGCCATGCTTTTGCAGTTTTTTATATTGGAATGTGACATATTATATTAGGATACCACCTATCCTGTGGTGTGGTGGTTAGCACTGTCGCCTTCCAGCAAGGGGGTTCTGGGTTCAAATCCCGGGGGAACCAGGACCTTTCTGGGTGGAGTTTGCATGTTCTCCCTGTGTCTGCGTGGGTTCTCTCCGGGTTTCCGGCTTCCTCCCACAGTCCAAAAAACCTGCATGTTAGGTTGATTGGAGTGAATGTGAATGTGAGTGTGAGTGGTTGTTTGTCCTTGTGTGGCCCTGCGATGGACTGGCGGACTGTCTAGGGTGTACCCTGCCTCTCGCCCGTTGACCACTGAGATAGGCTCCAGTTCCCCCCGCGACCCCATCAGGGAATAAGCAGTATTGATAATGGATGGAATGGAATGAACCCTCTTGAATGGGTTACGGGGAGAGAAATCTTCTTTGATCAATAGAAACCTCTCACTTGAAGTCCAACCTCTAATTTGGGATGACTGTTTTTCTGGATGAAAATGTGGAGAGTTTTAACTGCACAGCCAATACGGAAGCTTTTTTAGAGGTTTGTGACTTTCATTGCAGTTGTTCAATACTTTTAGATTCTCAATCTAGGACATTGCAGCCTAGTAGCCCTTAAGAAAGTCTGATAAATCCCTTAACAGAATGACAAATGCCATCTAATGCCAGTGAACTGAAGTGACCTCACTGCCCACTTACACACACACACAAATACAGATTTCACGCGCCCTGCCCATATTTAATACCTTGTTGTTGGTGACTGTCTGCATATGTGCTTCTTCATACTGATGTGTTGTTTTTTTTTAAATCGCTGCTTCGTCCCCTTTGCCTTTTTTTGTTACTCTATCCCCCCTATTTGCCCGAAGTTCTTTTTAACCATTTATCTGCAAAGTGGTGTGATTTAATAACTGCTGCTGCCCCATGTACTCCCAGATCCTGTATGTTCATGGGCCAATAGTAATGGGACAATTGCCTTTAAAGGGACAAGGGCTCTTCCCTCGATAACCTATAATCGATTAAGTAATTAAAATATGCTGAGTTGATTCCAGGTTTGCACTAGCTGTTCCTGTGAACACACAACATGCGGTCTAAGGAGATCTTAATGGAGGTGAAACAGACCATCCTGAGACTTAAAAAAACAAGAAATCCATCAAAGAGATGGCAGAACCTTTTGGAGTGGCCAAATCTACAGTTTGGTACATTCTGAGAAAAAGTGCACCAGTGAGCTCAGGAACTCAAATAGTCGTGGATTTCCACGGAAGATAACAGTGATGGATGATCGCAGAATCTTTCAATGGTGAAGAAAACCCCTTTCAAAACATACACTCGAGGATGTACGTGTATTAGTATCTAAGTCTACCATAAAGAGAATACTTCATATATAATTACAAAGGATTCCCCAAAAGATGTAAACTATTAATGACCCTCAAAAATAGAAAGGCCATAATTGACTTAACCAAAAAAAAACCCAAGAGAAGCAAGTCCAGTTCTACAACAGCATTCTTTTGTCAGATTCAACCTGTACCAGAATGATGCGAAGAAAAAAGTTTGTAAAAGAATTGGAACAGCTTGTAATCCAAAGCACACCACATGAAAAACAACAACTAAACCCCCATATTTTTGACCATGAAGATTGATTCTGAGGAATGACTCTGCTGTCGATTTAGAAGCAGGTTAAAGTGTTCCATGATGCTAATTTGGTGTTAATAAACAACAGTGAAAGGAACCGGATTTTCGCATCCAATCAATGGGAGGCATCATAGAACACTTCTGCATCGGCGAAAAAATCCAAGCCAACAACGACGAGCTAGCTGCAGGCCACATGCAGTGAAGGAGAGGCTACCATGTCAACTGTTGTGTGAATCAAGGGTCAAGCACACAAGGCTTCACATGTAAGAAGTAATTGTTAGCTGCCATTAAGTTTCTATCACACATATGTAACCCAGGTGTTACTGAGAGTGTGTTTTTTGTTGTTAAAAAGGAACGTATTCTGTTAAAACATCAGGGTTAAAAAGGTTAAAATTTCATAAGTCATAACTTCTCTATGATACAGTTTGTTTATTTTCATTTGCTATGCAGTTAAATATGTTGCAGAGATTTATTATACCTGTATTTCATTTAAAAGAGCAAGAAACAGGTCGAAATTGTTGTAGGTGGCGCTGTGTAAGACTGTGTGTATGAGTTACAACTGTCATGCATGCCAGAGGGATATTTCATTGGTTGGAAATACACCGGAAGAACTAGGGAGAGGGTGAAGTTAAGCACGCAGGAGACGGAAAAAAGGGGAGACTCCATTTTTTCCTCGGCGTGGGCATTCCTGTTCGTCTCGGCTAGGTGAGGAAAAACGGGTTTAGTAACAGAGACAGTTTGCTCGGAGAGAATAAGTGGCGGAGAGCCACTGCAGTTGCTGTTTGCTCTGCGGGGCGTTGTGAATGGAGTGTTTGTTCGGAGTTTACATGTTCGCCGAGTGAATAAGCCTCGGTGCAGCGCGGGGCAGACCCCGAAAAGTTAGCTACTTCTCGATGCTGCTCGTAGCTATTCAGGTTAGCGCCCTGTTTTCCGGACAGCCAGTGGTTCCCCTGACGTAGCCGCCGTGGGAGCAACGCGGCCTGGATAGCGCCCTGGTGGCCAGGAAAGCCAGAGGCTCCTCCAGCGACGAGGGAGGGACTTCTCCAGCCACCCAGTCGGACACCTTGTGCGGCTCGGACACAGTTTTTTTCCGTTTCACTGGAAGAATGGGACTACGGTACCGTGAGTAAAAGACATTTGGACCAGGACCATTTCTACAGTTAACAGGCCTGCAACGATTTATTTTGGGGTATTTTCTTTTACGTGCCGGCTGTTTTGTTTAGTACCTGCGCAGGTGTTTTGAAGCTTTTGTTTTAGTGTGCACACGTGGGTCTGTCATTTTCAAATGTCATATGCCCCTAGTGGCGAAAAACTACTTTCTTTACTGTGGGGAAATGATATTTTGTGTTACTCTGTGTGTTTAAAATAAATGTTTTAATTTGAAATATATATATATATGCCTGAAAGTTTGACCACTCACTGAATAGTGTCATTACGAGGTAAAGCTACAGGGAGAACCCACCACCCTTAGGTGATCATAGGACATGATTTGGTTTACACATACATTTGATGTATTTTTTCCTTAAAGACACAGACGACATTTTCCTGCAATTGACTTTCTACTAAGAATTTTAAAAACAAAGTACATAAAGTTAATTAATCACTCTTTCAGCTGAATCGAAGAAGTTTAAGCCATCTCTAACCAAGTTGTTAAGGAGAAGAGCAGCACCTATTTATCTAATCTATTCCAGTCTATGTCTCTACGACAGCTGAACCAGACAAGGAAGTTCCGGTATATGTTTTACTTGATAGTCAGGGTGACACAATCTCCATATTGCAGAATGCAGCTGATACAACGTGTGTTAAGAAAGAACCAGTAAAACTTTAAGTGTCCACCTTAACATCAAAAGAAAGGGGGTTAACAGCCACAAGGTGCAAGGACTACTGGTCTAGGCATGAGCTCTGATCCTAAAATCAAACTCCCAACAACCTACACAAGAGAATACATAGGCTAACACACACAGCAAACAGATCCCATATACCAAAAAGCACAACGGCAAAGTCCTGGCACAACGGCAAAGTCCAATAACATTGGACAGATTAAATATCTCCTGAGCTCAACTGTGAAGTAGAATTGTTAAGTGGCTATAACTGTCCCCAAGCCTTACATCCCAGAGATGTCATCACGGACAATGAAACCCAGCCATATACACAAAGGTCAGTGTTGGGTTGGAACATTATTGGCTACAACAGCACTGATGTTGATTATGAAATTGGATGAGGATTAAATTGGTGTCAACCACCGTATCATCATAAAGGCTGTTCTGCCAGTTACGAGCTGAACACACAATAGATCCCTTTTGCTTATCAAACTCAAGTTAAGTAAAGAACTAATCCGACCGATATACTGAAGGTCTCAGAAGAAGATGCTAAGTGCCTGAAAGAAGGCATTATGCAAAAGCCATAAGCCTTTTCAGGAAGTGAAGCCATGTATGTTAAACAACATAGTGTGTTCAGAAAATCGACTCAGATATCTGGAAAAGGGTCTTAAGAAAGATGACCAATATCAAAAAGATGATGGGGCTTTTATTGAGTACATGATAGCAAGGTATAATGATCAAAAGGTTCCAGCTACAGGGGTAATCAATCAGACCACATGGTATATCTCTCATCTTGGTCAACCACAAAAGCAAAGAAAGTGTGGTATTTGATTGACTCAATTTCAGAATACATGACTGAATAAGCATCTTACCACAGGGCCAGACCTAACAAATACCAAACAAATGTTGCTTCTGTGAGGACAAGTAATCATCATGTGTGATGTAGAGCGGATATTCCATCAATTTCATGTTTCACCAAGGGACCAAGACTACTTCAGATTTTTGTGCTTGTAATGAGGGAGTATGGAAGCTCCATAATCAGTGTTCCTCGTAAAGGGTCACTTGTTCAGTACTGCATTGTCACCTGGCTGTGTGAACTTCAGGCTAAAACACCTGGCCACAGAAGGATAAGCAAATTTAATGAAGCTACAGTGATGTTTATACAACGTAACTTTTACGTTGACAGTGGATTAACAACTTTGGACAATGAAGATGAAGCTATCTAGCTTCTTAAGAGAAGTTGCAGAGGCAAGAGTCCTCTGCAATACTGGTAATCTCAGCCTACATACATTAATTACCAATCAAAAAAACAATCCCAAAGCAAGAACATTTTAAAGGTGCAGCTAACCATGACATGACATTGGGAGAACACAAGATGGAACAAGCCCCTGGGGTCCAATGGTACATTAGCTCAAATAAGTTCCAGTTCAGGGTGAGCTCAAAAGAACATCCACTTAGTGGACTCACCACAAAGGAGCTCATAGAGTCCAACTGGTTCATGGGGCCTAGTTTCTTGTGGTAAAAGACATCCCTTAGAGAGGAGAGATTAAGGTGGGAGAAATCAATGAGGATGACCTGTGGGTCAAAAGAGCACAGGTTCACACAACGAAGGCAAAGAAGGAGAGGTCTCCACCAAACCAACTTCATAAGTTTTCAGATTGGAAGATAGCTGTGAGGGCTGTTGCATCTTGCGAGGGAGGTGAAAGGTCCAAAACAAGTGCTAATGAAGTTATGACATTTGAAGAAAGAATAGATGCTGAACAATTCATAATCCAGGTGGTTCAAAAGGAAGCATTCAGTGATGAAATCAAGCCACTGACACAAAGGATGAGGTACAAATGATCAAGTCAACCAAGCTACAAAGGTTGAGCCACTTCATAGATAGCCAAGATATCCTGAGGATGGAAGGTAGATTGACCCAAGCAACACTTCACCCTTATCATGTGCCATTGACGTTGAAGTATTGAATGGCCTTTCCATTTTTGCCTTCCTTAATGCATTGGTCTGCTTCACTGACATAAAAAAAGACATATAGATCAACTTTCAAAAACAAAAACTTTTATTATAACTCGTATTTCCTTGTCTTAACTTTTGGGTAACTGTGGTTTGTGTCATTGTCTGTCTCCGCTTTTTTTTTCATCCATGTTAAATATTTTTTCCATGTCTCTTAAAAGTTTGTTCACTGCACTTTTCAACTTCTGCTCTGTTCTGTGTGCATAAAGAATAAACATTGAGTCAATATTCCCTGTACGCACTCTGACAATGAGAGCGCCACTGCCACCTACTGTAGTGGATGTGCATTTAAACTTTATTCTCGTATGACAGAAAAATAATGTTCCCCAGGATCAGACCCCCCGCCCCCCCCGACATTGCACCGTGCCCCCCCGTAATTTGACTGCCATAAGAACTAATGTAAGTCAAATAGAATGTGACCAAGGTACAAACCTAGTGAGGGCACTCAATGAATTACAAGAATGAAAGGAATAGAGCAAGTATGTGTGAAAGAGCTATGATGCAACTTTCTCATGAACCCACCTGTTTCCAGTTACATGGGCAGTGTCAGGCAGATTCGGACTACGAGAAGTGTCCTCACTTCCATCCTTGACCAGTCTGATGAAAGATTAGACTGCTCTTGACTAAGAACTTTGCTGTGCGAGGTGATGGCAATATTAAATAGAGGACCATTGGCCATTTGTGGTGTAATAAAGTTCTGTTAACAATGTGAATTTCTATAATGAATCGTGATGGTGTGAGTTTAAATGCAGTAGTTTTTTATTTTGAATTTTGAAAAAAGTAAAAACAGTAAGTTTCACCAGTTAGCTCCATGAACTTCACACGAAAACCGAGGAGCACCTGAAGTGGTGATGTTACCTGCTAGGCTGTTTTGCTTTTTTATTACTCCAGGCTTCGTGGTGTGTGAATGTGATTTTTAACAGAAATGTAAGTTGAAATCACTCAGTGGTTGCAGAAAGTAAAATGTGTTTACATGATGGAATATATGACTGCCCAATTACAGCTAAAAGTAGCTGTTTTTATGAGAAGCTGGACCCCAGTTACTGAATATCTTGATTAGGATTCTTATACACTTATACTATATCCATGTATTATTATTGTTACTATTATTATTATGATGGCTTCTTTAAATCTAAAATATCCCTTTTTTTGGAGTACAGAACTTGATAAGATATGCAGTGTTACTCTTGTTTGGCAAATTAGACCCAATTTTTATTTTATGTATTTATTTATATATATATTAAGGCAATAAAGTTAAAAAAAAAAAAAAAAAGTAAGCTGAAGAAACATATTTTTTACCAAGATTTTTTGTTCTACAGTTTCAATGTGGATCTGAACCCAGTCTAGCATTCAAAGCATCACAAAGGAGGAAAGTCGGCCTTTGGTGGTGTCCATGGGTGTCCATTTTTCCAATGACTTTTGCATCGCCGAGATGAGGAGCAGTTCTATAAAAATGCCTACAATTCCTATGTTTTATCGTACATTTTTGTTGAACCCCTTGAATTAAACCATAAAGTCTGCACTTAAATGCTGTTGCAGTTTTTTTTTATTTCAAATCCAATATGGCCTGCAGAGCCCAAACCATCACTGGCCAAATATTTCTGGGCTTAATTGTATTTTTTACAAAACATAAACAATTTAAGCTTACTTTGATTTAACTTTGTTATTTCTTTAATGTAATATTAAAATTATATTCATTGTAACTGAAGACTATCAAACAAACTTAAACAACAATGGTGATTTCAAAAACTACAAACTAATCAGGATTTTTGTGTGGAGGTTGTATTAAGTATTTTAAACATTGTCTTGCATCGAGTCATACAAAGTTGAGTATTTAAAAAATGATTTCAGTACAGAGAAAACTTTCATAAGAAGATTGTGGGGAAAAAAACATGTGGACAAAGTAGTGTTTTACTTATTTGAATAAAAGACAAAAATATGAAATTACAATAAAATGATAATAAAAATAATAATTACATAAGTCAATTAAATCAAAAGTACTCAGGTTCCATGACACTGTCACGGTCTGGGAGACTTGGTCTCCTTGCTGTCCATATCATTATTCATCCTCTAGGCGTCAGAGGGTGCTTCACACAGGTGTTTGCCATCAGACCTCATTAGTGGGAAGCTTAATAGGAGCCTGCTGCTGGCACATCTTTGTAAGTATTGACCAACAGTGGTAAATTGTAGTTGTCGCTTTTGTATACTCATACTGAGTTACTTATCAGTTGTTTCTTTCCTCTCAGGAACTCAGCTTTCTGGATCCTGTTCCCATTCATTTCCTGGTTACCTGAATCTGTAGGCCATCAAGTTACTCGCCGGGTTCTCAGTTCTGGCTGGCAGTGCCGTTTCCTCCTCCCTGAAACACACCTGCACTTGAACCTTGCACACCCTCCAGCGTGCCAATTCCTGCATTACTCCAGTTCTCCAAAGTATCTGTGCCAAAGTCACCTCTGTTCTGGATCCTCTGGTTCACGTACCTACCCTGTTGACCGAGCTCTAACACCCAACTCATTCATCTCACGCTATTCTCATCACTATCTTTGTTGATCCCTGGTTTCCATCTTTGCTCCTTTTTCAATAAACTGATTTAAACCTACTCTGCCTCCCGGTTGGATTCTGAATGTGGGTCAGAGCTGCAGCTAAAACCATGACCGACGCATTCAGGCAACTCTGCAGGGGCATCTTCATCTGCTTATCTACAGAGCAGGAAAGAGTGGTATAAATGGTATAAAACACACACAGTTCAAGGGCATGTCACTTAGACTTCTTAACCCAAAAATTTCATTTGATCATATTTCTGGAAGGAATTTTTCATAAATACTGAAACTCCCATCAGGGAATAAGCGGTATTGATAATGGATGGATGGACTGAAAAGATGTTGGGAAATTAAATGTACCAAGCTGACAGGTATGCCATTAGGAGATGCCTGTTCCTGTACCTCCTGGTTAATTGCTTCCTGCTTCTCTGGTTTCTTTAACTTTAAAGTTGAGCATGCCAAGAGCAAATGCATAGCTCAGTCCATTTTTTTTTAATTGTGTTTATTGAATTTTCCCAAAAAATACACATAAGTCACATAAATGTCCCTACATTTTGAGTCGTATTCAAACATGGTAGTACAAATAAACAAAATCTCTCAATCCCTCCCTCCTAATGTAGGACTACAGATTGTAAAATGAATCCCACCATATAAAACATATAAGATTAAATTAAATAATAATAGTAATAATAATAGTAGTAATGAGAATAATAATAACAATATCACTGCCACAATCAAAGAGGGCATGATGTGTGGTGGTGGTGTAAAGGAAGAAGGGGGAAAGGGGAGAAAAGAGAAAAAAGAAAAAGGAAAAAAAAATGTAGGAAAAGGTGCTCAGTCCATTTTTAACCTTTTTACTTAAGTGTCTTTTTTTTTTGGCGGCGGCGGCAAAATTAACGTCTTTGTAATGAAGTTTCCATCCCAAATGCACAGTGAGCCTTCTTCCATCCTCAGAAGATTGTACTTTTGACAAGTACGTACTAAAATATATACAAGTGTGTTGTATATGTATTCTGTATTGAGAAAATGGAAAATGCAAACCACATATTTACATTTTTTTACTTAAATTTAATACATTTGAATTAACTTACCAGGACAGTAAGGTTTACGAATCAGCTTTGTGCCAACTGTTTTTGCGCCTGATGTAACAGCAAGAAGCTTTTCTTGGCCAAGAATTTGGCCGTGAAAAAAACATTGGTTATTTGGTTATTTATGAAAATACTTTTACTATTTTCATTACTGTTGTTTTTGTTGGTTGATGTATTATCACTATCATGATTAAAGTCTATAAAGTCTATTTAAATGTCAATATAAATGTCAAGATTCAAAATTATAGGCATTTTGGTCAGCACTGTTGCCTTGCATCAAGAGGGTTCACGGTTCGAGTCTCTGGGGCAACCTTTCTGAGTGGAGTTGCGTGTTCTCTGTGTCCGCTTGGGTGCTCTCTGGGTACTCTGGCTTCCTCCCATCTTCCAAAAATATGCATGTTAGGTAAATTTGACACACCAGACTGTATGTCTGTGTAGTCCTGTGATCAACTGGCGACCTATCCAGGATACACCCTGCTTCTACAGCCCCCTGTGACCTTGTTGGGAATAAGCGTATAGAAAATGGATTGATGGAATATTATCTCATTGCCATGTGTTATTTATGTGGTGGTCACTGTGTATTTCTTACGCTCCCTTACAGAACCTTACACTGCACCTTGACAGTTGTTAATAACCCTGCTCTGTGACATAATGGTTTGACAACAGACCAGCCATTACTTGAACAAAATAGAATACACAATTCAACATAGTTATCATGCACTTCACTGCAGAATGACAATCTGTGCAAATTCATTGGACAGAGAAGACCAGTTTGTGACCATATTAAATGCATTACTTGCAGTATCAATATTTGTTTTAGATTATTAACGACTGGCCTATAAATTGGGTGGAGGCCAGGAAAACCTAAATCAGCAGCATTTACTAATATAGCAAAAGTATGATCCAGGCAGCCTGACAAATAAACAAGTATAGTCAAATTATCCTTTATTTGTAGATACACAAATACTTTGATTATGATGTAACCTGTAGCCTTAGTAAAAATAAACAGCATCACTGTTGCTATGTAGACTGCCAAGAGGTCTATTTATTAGTAAAAATTAAACTGGGAACACCTCTAGAGAATACAGATGTAAATGTGACCAGAAAAGAAAACCGCATTGAAGGAAAAATATTATTTGTTTACCTGATTTAGGGTACGTGACAATCCATATGTCGCTGCTTCTGAGGGAGAAATTGGCAATGTCATCCATTTTTCCCCTGCAGAAGGGCGGCAGCCGGACTCCATGAAACTCGAAATATTTACTCTCGAACTCAATCGGTGTGCTCGGCGTGTCTACCTCGCTCTCGGCCATCCTCTAAATAATCCAATAATCCACGCTAGAAAAAAACAAAACAATGCGACAACACAAACAGTTTTTCTTTCAATAAACTGAGAGATGAATATGGCAGTGGTCTAATTGACTTAATTGTTTTTCTTCAGCCACAATGCCAAAGCTCACGACGGATGCTGCAAACAGGCAGCAAAAGATTGTCTTATACAGCGAATCAGGCGATGGCAAAATGATGCAATGCGCGCACACTTGCGCTAACATCAGGACCACTCTCAGAAGAGGGATGCATTCAGCTGACTGGGGTACGTGAAGGGAACATTTCCAGAATGCTCGTTAGTGTATTCCAGTCTAAAAGTTCACAATGCCAAGCGAACGTTCACTGAGGGTCGAGATGGGAAGATTTCTCAACGGAAAATTAACCTAAACATTTACCTAAAATCTTTATCCACAAATCTTTGTCTTGCTCACTTGCCCTTTTTGTCTCCCAGTTTCCCTCAGCCTTCGGTGTCTGTTAAAACACCCAGTTCCCTGATAGTTACATAACGTACTTTGTGATCGCGTTTTCTATTATACAGTTTACCTATATGCTTTATATGAAGTAACATATTGACTTTGATAGCCGTATTTAACTTGACCACAAAACATTTTTTTTTAATTTTGTGAAGAAACAGGAAATTGCAAGGTATACGCTGATATCTCTCAATATAGTTTATGCTATTACTCTATTTCTGCCTGAATTTCTTATACAAATAATTTATTATCTACAAAATAACAGAATTCAGTCAATTAATTTTTACAGTGTATTGACTTATCACGTGTCTGTAATCGCACGCATGCGCGACCCGTTCCGGAACGTGTATTGCCTTTACTGTGCCTTGTAAACTTGAAAACTATTACTCAACAATTCACGGGCCTTCTGTTACTTTTCATGGGTTGATTGGAAATGGGCTATTTAATTCTTATAGGCCAAACTTGGAGCATATTTTATTAATATTTTGATTTCAAACGAACTAAAACAGTTTGTGTTTTACCACAATTTAGTTTGACTTTCGAAGTTTTGATAATTCTGACAGTAACTGAATGCCTCATGAGCATCTGATCAAGATAGTGGTTGTGTGAACTCTAACTTTCGTCGAGCAGCCACTGTGTAATTCCTGTGTGATTCCCTGCCGGGGAATGTAACATCATGTTCAACTTAAACAGTGGCTGGAACCTATCTTTTGCCGGCTGTGGATTTTTGGGAATTTACCACATCGGAGTTGCTAGTTGCTTGCTGGAGAAAGCACCCTACCTTGTTAAAGGGGCGACGAAGCTGTACGGGGCCTCTGCTGGTGCTCTGACAGCTTCGGTACTTGCTAGCCAGGCTTGCATAGGTGAGACGCTTTTTATAATTTTATATTGATTACGGTTACAAAATGATGAGTGATACCAAATTCTAGAATAATGTATTAATTGCTCACAAGATTAGGGCACTAGTGATATTTCTGGGTGACTGTTCACTTGAGTAAAACGTATTTAAAGCCTGCAAGTTGTCTCTTTAACTGATTTATGTTAAGGTAAGGTAATAACTGTTTGCCATTTAATTATAATTTTTGTATTTATTCACATACCAGTATTTTAATCAATGGCAAGGTTTCCCCTTGCCTAGCATGAATAAGCACAATCATCAGAACTGATATGAACAAACAAGTCTCTGTCCAAAGCGCCCTATGCTCAGTGACAGATAAAGAGGCAGCAGTGAGCTCAGCGATAAAAAAGAAGGAATGCCCATGCCACAGTTGACAACTGTCCTTACAAAATATTCAGTCACAGAATCAATCAATTTTTTAAAAAAAAGTTATTCCACAAAAACATATAGTTTCAAAGTGGTCATGTTTGCAATCCTTTTGTTGTGTGTGTAATCTTTTTTTTTTTTAGCAAAATGCTGTGAAGATGTCCTTGAGGTCGCAAAGGAAGCCAGGAAAAGAAATCTGGGCCCACTTCATCCAACCTTCAACTTGGTGAAGGTGTTGAGGTCTGGTCTGAATCGTGACCTACCATCTGATGCTCATCTCCTGGCCTCGGGGAGGCTCTGTGTCTCTCTGACCAGAGTGTCTGATGGGGAGAATGTGTTAGTGTCTGATTTTAGTTCCAAAGAGGAGCTCATACAGGTGTTTGGAGTTGTTGATTGTCTTACATGCCACAGAAAATGCTCTGATGCTTTGGTTTTCATGGCTTAAACTTTATGTTGTGTCCACAGGCACTGATCTGTAGCTCTTTTATTCCTGTCTACTGTGGGCTGATTCCTCCTACTTTCAGAGGAGTGGTAGGTACAAGGTTAAATTAGTGTCCAATTAAAGTTAAGATTTGTTTTTGCTGTTATGATTAGTTTCATATTTGGTTGCTTGATTACATTTCACAAGTTAAAAACAGAAATGTAGTAATCAAGCAGAAAGCTGCTTTCTGATGTCATCGTCATTTTCACTGTTTGACATAATCAAGTTATGAAACCCATTTCGCATTAGGTATTGCTAGGAATTGCCTGATCATATTTCTTTTCCAATTTTATATTAAAAAGGTTAATACTATGACATGCATTGTTTAAAAAAAAAAGTCATCGCAATTATTTAAACTTTTAACATTTCTCATTTGTTTGTTTGATTATTTTTTGCTTTGTCTTGTGCACAGACCAACACATTTTTGTCTTGTGCATAGACCAACACATTTTTATAGGTGAAAAAACTACATTTCACAATTTGGCCCTGAGCTTTTATAACTGCAAAATTGTATTAATTTCTAATCACACAGCTCTTTGATAGCGATGCATTTTGTAGTTTGTTTCACCAAAGTAAAAGTCCGATTTTTTGTCAATATCTGCAATATATAAACAGACATACTAATTAACTGCAGTTACATGACTCCCGGTCTCCCGGAAGAAGAAGAGTAATAAGTTCTAAAATTATGTTAAAGTATTTTATTTTAAAAGATAAAAGATAAGTATAGACTATTCTGACAGTTTCAAAACAGTAAGCAGTAATAAGTATGTATAAAAGAAGTAGATATATTGATGATGTATTAGTGGTTGCAAATACTAAACATGAAGATAATGGGGAAAAAATCAAGTTTTTCAATTGTATGAAATAGGTCTATAATCTCTAAATCCCATGTCAGATGTAGAAAAATAACTTACTAAAAGGCCAAGATTTGTCTTAGCATTTTACCGTCAGCCTATCAGTGAGCTTTATATGCCAGGTAGGCATTTATCTATACAGGGACTTCATTTTACTTTGCTTTCGACAATTCATAGAAATTTTACAACACTTAAAATAAAGTAAAATCCTTCTCTGTATCCTTTCCCTTTTGTTACCAGATTTTTCATCTTTGGTTTATATGAGTCTGCATGACATCTTACTAAATCATGATGTAGGCAAACCTTTTAAGTTTGTAGTCCGAGAGGGAAATCCTAAGCAAGTGATAACTCCTGGACTTTCTTTTTAAAGTAGCAGGGTGTGTTTTTTCAACAATTCATGGTTGTAAGAAGTACCCAATATATCTTTATTTTACAGTTTTTTTATGTTATGTTGATAATTTAAGTCCTGAATCAAAATATTTTTAGAACGTATGCAGTTAAAAGGTTTAATCTTGAGTGGTACTTTACTATGGACTGGGGAGACTTTAGCTCAGAAGGAAGCAAGGTTTATGGTAGAGCCAATTAGAAGAAATCCAAAACAGATTTTTCTGTTACTTCAAAGTAAATAATTAACACATGAGTGTTACTATGAGTTTCTATGAGTTTCAGAGGCTGACACAGTAAAAGTAAACAAGCATTATTTGCATATCTTTTCACTCCCTGTGTTTTGTGTCTTTAGCGTTATGTGGATGGCGGTATAAGTGATAACATGCCACAGTCAGAACGCAAAAACACCATCACTATATCACCTTTCTCTGGTGAGAGCGACATCTGTCCACGGGACAATTCCACCAGCTTCCACGAGCTACGTCTCACTAACACAAGCATCCAAATGAACATGGGCAACATGTATCGCCTTAGCAGGGCTCTGTTTCCACCAGAACCTAAGGTGGGCTCTGTCTGTCTGTCTGTCCGTCCGTCCGTCCAGCCGTACATATTTGCGTACGTATGTGCGTCCGTGTGAACATGCGTATGTGCGTGCGTACATATGTGCGTATGCAACACTTTTCCCTTTATTGCATTTTTCTCTACAGGTATTGGCTGAGATGTGTCAGAGTGGTTACAAGGATGCTCTGCGCTTCCTACAGGAAAACAGTGAGTACTCTACCAATATAGTGAGTAGGTCAGTCTTAAAGCCCTGTAAAAGCCTGATTAAGACCCATTATATCACTCAGTTTAAACAAGGAAACATTTAAAAGACGAACAGTGTGTCTTGAGGACTCGCTGGTGATGGCCTAGCCTTCCTTTACCTCCTCCAAGGTTCAACATTTCCACATGCACCACATGATAACATCTCTGGAGTGACCATCCAAGGTGATGGTTCCCATTTTTTAAGGAAGGATACTGGGAATTTTAAGCCAGGGTGTGAGAAGAATGACAAGTCTGGGAACCAGCAGGGAAGTAAGCTTTTCCAGAACTAATTGCATGGTTCCTAACTCTTAGTCAGAAGGTGAAACTTTTCAGTATATTGTTCACTCTTTTTTATAACCACCTGGTTATAAAAGCTTGGTAGTGACTGAAAGAACAAGGTTGTTAATACAAGTGAATGAAATGGGTTTCTTTTTTGGTATAATTCAATGCTTTAGATATATTTATAGGTTGATAAGCTCACCAATCTGGAGGAAGCAAAAAGTTGAGGCATTGCTCCTCCACATAAAAAGAAGTCAGTTAAGGCGGTTCAGATTGTTCAGATTTTTTCTGATTGAGGAAAGAGAAGCGCTGTATCTGCAATATTGTAATGGATTTGAAGGTTTTTTTTGTCTGTTTGTTAATGTGGTGTGTTTTATAAAAGCCTTCCAGTTACAAGTAGACTAAATTAAATTCATACTCTAGTGATTATCTGCCTGTATTCCCAACTGCAGCCTATGTGATTTTTCTTTTCAGATCTGCTACTGCATGACTGTCCCACCTCTGGCCCTTCAGTGGCAGAGACCTCCATCAGTTGCTGCACACCAAGTGAAACAACCAAAGAGTGGGTACTTCGGAGACTCAGGCTACTCCATAAGCATCAATGGTGTTTGGATGAACAGTTCAGTCTTCCTACCCCAATAAAAAATGGTATGTCATCCCTGATGGCTTTCAACATAATGATTGTGAATAACAATAAAATCATTCTGTGCTTTTGATTGATCATGTTTGTTGTGTCCATCAGTGTTCTGCAAGGCCTGCCAAGACAAGTCAGGCCTGTATGCCAAAGTGTTCAGTATGTTGCCTTTGAGAGTGGCTTCTTATATGCTCATGCCATGCACTCTTCCTGTTCAGTCAGCTTACTCAGTGGCCCAGAGGTGAGATTTATGTGCACAGCAATTTTCTGACGTTCCCTTATATTAAATTGTGACCTATATTAATATTCCCACATATAGATATATTCATAATTTAAACTATCATTTTACAAAGGTTTGTGGAGTGGATCCCAGAAGTGCCTGCTGATGTGCGCTGGCTTTTTGGTGTAGCAGGTGATGTATATAGACAAGCCTGGAGAGCAAAACCAACCAGTTTCATCAGGTAAAAGGATTTTCAATTACTGGTGATTTATTCATACGATAACCCACTGAAAGAGTACAAATCTAAGATATGCGTGAAACAATAAGTTTATATGTTTTGTTTTTAGTCTCTTACTGCTTCTGTGTATGAATTAAATTTGAAATAAATTAAATTCTACCACATTTTGTTATTGATGAAACAGTGAACCATGCCTGAGGAAATGCATCAGTGTGATACCATTACATTCGAAGAATGAAAGCTCCATGCAGAATGACATGTTGCCTGCTCTTTCCTCAATTGACCTCCATGGCAACTACTGGGAGATCCCAAAATTGACTTCATCCAATCATCATCCTCTTCTCATTGCCCGCTCCGCCCCAGAAAATGTCTGCTTCTACATCAGCCCAGAGGATAGACCACACCATGATGTACAGCAATGAAATTATTCAGATCTTGATAAGATGACATTCCACCAGTCACAATCAGGTACAAGTGGATTGATGGGTTGTAAACAGTCTAATTAGTACTGTTTAGCTGTTGGTTAAAAATAACTATGTAAACAGACTGCATTTAATGATACTCTGCCTGGCCAAAAAGACTCAAATTTTGTTATGTTTTCAGACTATTTTAAAACAATTTTTTCCTAAATTTTATGTATTTTCCTCTCAACAGCTCCTTTATTACTTGGCCAAGATTGTGTAATGTTTATTAAGGGGTGTTTGAGGTATAGGTTTAAAGTCTTCTTAGTTAGACCCAAAACACTAATGTTTAGGTCTTGATTTTGTTTCATCCAATTGATTCGTAAGAGCGACTTCTCTAAAATGTCTGAAAACTTAAAACTAATCCTACCATTTTCATCATTGTCTTGTCTGTGCCATTAGAGCAGATTAAAAATACATAAATCGTATTTTGAAATAAATCTGGTCATTCAGTATATCCAACTGACCTCATGCCATTGGGATACAATGTTTCAAAATCCTGAGCTACTGCAGTCGCTCCAGATCGGTTGTTTAAATAACTTAATTGATTTAGTCTGTGTTTTTGTATGTTTTTTTAGTTAATATTTGCAGGGCAGTGTATGTGCAAAAGATATTTGGGACTTTTTTTCTTAACTGAGGCAAAGGTATGAGTTTTAATGGGACTAAGTCTGTCTTCAGTATTTGTAACATTTTGTACATCAGGTACAACCCAGGCCAGGCAAACTTACTAAGATTAGCTACCGTTTGTCAACATTAAACTTGATGATCATTAAAAACCTTATATTAGAATTTTTGTTTAACACAAAGACTTGATATCTGAGGAAGTAATTAGGTAAGACACATATGTTATATTTTTAGCTGTAAATTTTGGCACTTCACCACTGGCAGTTATTGATTAACAATACATTAACAAATTAGTATAGTATTTTTGCAGCAACAAGGTGATTCCAAAGAACTATTAACTGAAAAACCAAGCACATCTCAGAATAGTGTGATATCTATTCCTAGAATATTTTAGGCCTATATGCAGCCATGGACATAAATTTTAGACTACCTTTTGTCCCACTTTCTTAATTTTAATTGCTAAATTTTTAAATTTAGATTTGTTTGGATAAATACAACAAAAGAATAGCTCATAGGAGTTACTTTGTGATAATTTTCTTAAGTGACAATTTTTAAGATTGGCATATGCCCGTTACAAAAAGTCCACAAGAATACTTATACTGATGTACCTATATTAGACAAGAATTTAAACTGATCTAATATCTACCTAATCTTCCGTGGTTTCCTTGATTATAACTTTCATGGTTTTCAGTTTCCGAGCCCACATGCAGACACTTAGACGAGAGAACAGGAATTAGTTTAAGTGAGTTTATTTATATAAACGGGGAGATGTTCAAGATCTCCGGTCGGAGCATCGGGTTCGGTTACCGTGATTGACAGCTAAGGTGGCTGAATGACGGGGGCTGGAGGTGGCGACACTGACTGGGAACGGGCTGCAGCGGCAATGTAGCAGGCGGAGCGGCAGGAGGGACCAGAGCTGATGGCAACCAGACGGATCCAGGGGAGCGCGAGAGCAGGACCCGAGCAGGGCTGGATCCGGAGCTGGTTGCCGAGCACAGAGTCCGAGAGGCACGAGTCCAGGGAACGAGACTGTGGGTCACAGAAACAAGGTCAACGTGAGGGACGAGGCGAATAACACTCACAATCCAAGATCCTCGAGGAACTTGGTTGGCGTACCACAACTGAGTAACACTCTGGCGTCTTCCTGCTCACTGTCTGATCCTTAAATGCCAGCCCGTAGAGTGTCTGATGAACCTCAGGTGTGGGGCCACGCCCACCTGTCAATTACAGCCACCTGTGAAGTAGAGGAAAACAACAGAGCACGGCAACACGAACCCTGACAATAACTAAAATTGCTTAAGTTTTTCCATCAATAGCTGTGACATAGTTCAGCTTAAAGCTTTTAGCTTTTAGGCATTTCATGGTCTAATAATTTTTCCAATGTCTGAATCTACTTGTTCTTAGTATATACATACAAGTATTTATTTCTGTTTCTAGTCCTTTTTGTCTTTGGTCCTAACAGATTTTGGTGGTTGCTCTCTATATGATGAAGCCCCCTCATCCCACTACAGACATTGTAACTGCAATCATTCCAAAGATTTTGCCTAATGGTATTTTGGTATGGTGGTTAGCACCATCACCTCACAGCAAGTGGGTTTTGGTTTCAAGTCCCCATCGAGATTTACAAGAGCCACCAAGTTGCCATACAATTTTCCAGTCACTATAATGAACTAACCCTTGTCATCTGGTGAAGGGCTAATTGGTGTGAAAGGAACATGTAGAGGCAGGGATGCGTTTAGCACTTGTCACAAGAGGGAGTGAGTGTGTCGGGATATTTGTCTGTGTGTGTGTGTTTGGGTGTGGGTGTGGCTGGGTTTTGGATGATTGCTTGATAAATTTCACCTGTGTCTAGCTATGGTTCTTGGAAACAAAGTAGAATTATGGAAATAACGTATTGTAAATCTGAAATAAAATCAATTATTAAGACCAAAATTAAATCTGAATGGCAACAATTGTGGGAAGAAGGTACTAAAGGTCGTGATTTATTTCATATACAAAAGAAAGTAGGAAATATGGAAAAAATAGGAGAAAATCGAAGAGAGCAAGTAGTAATGACAAGATTGCGCCTTGGACATACTGGATTAAATAAAACTCTACATTTGATAGGTAAACATCCAACAGGTAGTTGTGAGTGTGGTATGGATATGGAAACAGTAGAACATGTAATTATTCATTGTGAAAAATATACAGTAAGTAGAGAGAAGTTAAAACAAGAAATTAGGAAATATGATATAGAAACATTAAAGATTAATAAGATTTTAATTAAACATAAAATAAATAAAGCAGTTATTGCATTTTTGAAGGAAACAGGATTATATGTAAGAATTTAGATTGGGGGGAGATGCTCTGGTCCACACTCCAGCACAGTAGATGGCGATAATACATCTTAACGTTAGATGTCACCTGCCAATAAAAACCACAAAGAAGAAGAAGAAGCTATGGTTCTTATTTTTTGTTTGAGACAGAGAGGTTAAATATAGGGTGCTGATATTTTCTGTTGACCGCAAAAGTAATCACAAATTAATCACAGAAGTTGACCACGAATGTAGTTTGCAAGTTAATTCACAATCTTGTCACAAAGTGTGTTGTGCTGAAAGAGTCAAAATAAACACCCTTCAAGCAGTACTGGATTCAAATTTCCTCCTTCCCTCATTGACTAACTTGGTTTTCGATAGTCACATTACATTGTCAACAGAAAGTCAAAGTTTCAGATCCTTCCAATGCTTCACTGGATTTGTGCACTTTGGACCACCTAACCACTTCGGATGGTAACTGTGAGTAACCTAGAATGAAAGGAAGAAGCACATCACAGCCGGTGGAGTTTGAAACTCAGTATATTCATGCTGTGAAGTTTATACTTGCTTGGACACAGCTGATGATGGTTACTGCTGCATATTGGATGCGCATGGATACTGTGGCTACTGTTTGATGTCCTGTTTCCTAAATTCCTCACAACCAGAAAGACTGTTGGAAAGATGAATTGCTTGTTTGTGCAAATCAAAGTGAAGTTGGATGTTGGTGCAGTTACTGCTGAAACTCATGCTTGAAGTGGTGAGGAGATTTGGAAGCAATGTTGGATTGTTCTTTATGGAATAGGATTTGTGCCAAAGCAAAGCAGTTGAGTTGGATGTGACTTTGACGCAAATGTGGAATGTGACATGTTTAGAACTTCTGTTGCGCACACACTGTTTGATGTCAATCAAAACTGGATCAAATACAAATCATTTTGAAACTGTTAAAAGGAAAGTCATTCTCACTGAAAAGGTGTTGGGGTGTAAAATGGAGAAACTTTAAAAGAAAGTAAGAGTGAATAAAATGAAATGGGTCATCAATGGTTTAAAAGAACTATTGGAGAGTGATGATAATGTTTTGCAGGTGCAAACTCAGCTTAATATCTTGATTCAGTTACACTAGGAGACAACTTCTCTGCATGAGTCAGTGATGGAAATATTACCTGATGTGGAAAAGGATAAGCAACAAGTCTGGTTTGCAAGCGTCAATAAATACAAAGGATTCATTGAGGATGTGACACAGTGGCTCTTGGGAATAAAGAAACCAGTATCAGGACGTGCAACAAATGACAATCTTGAGGAGAATTCCATTGCTGAACTAGTACATGTACATGGTACTAGTACAACTAGTACCCCTCCCTGGGCTGCCAATTATCGTGGTGGAGGGGATTGATTGTCCCTTTGATCCTAGGAGCTATGTTGTCCGGGGCTTCAAGCCCTTGGTAAGGTCACCCAAGGCAAACAGGTCCTAGGTGAGGGATCAGATGAAGCACAGCCCAAAAGACCCCTTATGATGAGCACTATAAATGGAAACAGAGTTCCGTTGTCCGGACACGGGCCACTGGGGCCCCACCCTAGAGCCAGGCCCAGAGGTGGGGCATGTTGGCGAGCGCCTTGTGGCCGGGCTTTGATCCATGGGGCCCGGCCGGGCTCAGCCCGAAAAGGAAACATGGGTCCCCCTTCCCATGGGCTCACCACCCATGGGAGGGGCCAAAGGGGTCGGGTGCGCTGTGTTTCGGGTGGCGAGCGGAGTCGGCGACCTTGGCGGACCGATCGCCGGCTGCAGAAGCTGGCTCTAGGGACGTGGAATGTCACCTCTCTGGCGGGAAGGAGCCTGAGTTGGTGTGCGAGGTGGAGAGATTCCGGCTGGACTTAGTCGGTCTCGCCTCGACACACAGCTCTGGCTCTGGAGCCAGCCTTCTTGAGAGGGGTTGGACGCTCTACTACTCTGGAGTTGCCCCCGGTGACAGGCGCCGAGCAGGAGTGGGCATACTCGTTTTCCCCCCATCTCGGTGCCTGTACGTTGGGGTTCACCCCGGTGAACGA